CCGAGGTACCTAATTTTACCACAAAAAACTGGGAAAAACTATTGACTCGAGTATAAGCCGAGGGTGGGAACACCAGTGGGAAGAATCGTGCCCCATCATTGGTATCAGTGGGAGGAATAGTGCCCCATCATTGGTATCAGTGGGAAGAATCGTGCCTCATCATTGGTATCATTGGGAGGAATAGTGTCCCATCATTGGTGTCAGTGGGAGGAATAGTGCCCCATCATTGGTATCAGTGGGAGGAATAGTGCCCCATCATTGGTGTCAGTGGGAGGAATAGTGCCCCATCATTGGTGTCAGTGGGAGGAATAGTGCCCCATCATTGGTGTCAGTGGGAGGAATAGTGCCCCATCATTGGTATCAGTGGCAGGAATAGTGCCCCATCATTAGTATCAGTGGGGGGAATAGCACCCCATTATTGGTGTCAGTGAAATAGTGCCCCATCTTTGGTGTCAGTGGGAGGAATAGTGTCCCATCATTGGTGTCAGTGGGAGGAATAGTATCCCATCATTGGTGTCAGTGGGGGGGGTGGAGGAATAGTGCCCCATCGTTGGTGTCAGTGGGGGGGAGGAAAAGTGCCCCATCGTTGGTGTCAGTGGGGGGGAGGAATAGTATCCCATGATTGGTGTCAGTGGGGGGTGGAATAGTGCTCCATGATTGGTGTCAGTGGGGGGTGGAATAGTGCCCCATCATTGGTGTCAGTGGGGGGGAGGAATAGTGCCCAATCGTTGGTGTCAGTGGGGGGGAGGAAAAGTGCCCCATCGTTGGTGTCAGTGGGAGGAATAATGCCCCATCATTGGTATGATGATTGGTATGATGGGGCACTATTCCTCCCACTGACACTTGCTGACCCCTGTTCCAGTATGGTGCTGCTGCAGCCAGCATATGTGGTTGCAGCAGCACCTAAGCACAGCACACTTACCTGTATCTCCTTCACTCGATTTTTGCGGGGCCGCTCAGCTCCGCCTCCTCACCGGTGAGAAGGCGGAGCCGAGCAGCCGCGCGAATATCCAGTGGACGAACCGAATGAAGGAGCAGCCGCGCTTCCTGGACCAGATCGTCGTGGGACCGGAGCCAGGTAAGAGACAGCAGCCCCCTGCAGACGTTGACTCGAGTATAAGCCGAGGGGGCCGTTTTTCAGCACAAAAAATGTGCTGAAAAACTCGGTTTATACTCGAGTATATACGGTAATTTATATTAATTCACACATACACATCATTCATCTACTCTTGGTCTGGCCCCCGGGTCCAATATATGAACCCATTGCAGCCCTCAAGTCAAAAAGTTTGCCCACCCCTGGTATAGAATCTGGTATTAGTTACTATGGCACAGGTACAGTATTAATCTGTCTAGCAGACTGTGTTCAGATTTACCAGCTGTGTGCTTATTTATGTTCTACTGCCATTTATTCTAAACCTACATCAATGAAGTGCATTCATCACTAAACAAGTGTCTGCCTATTTTCTGGTAGCAGCCCTCAGCCAGGTTAAAGATATTTTATAAAGGTGTCTTTATACTTGCTTGCAGTTATTTCAATTCAACCAGGTGTAACAGAGGGGCTGAGGTTGTTCTAGGTGTCAAGGATCAGAACAGAGAACCCAAAATTACCAAGCGTCTCCTTCAGGGGTGGCACTACAACCATATTAAAGAAAATGAGAAATGTTAGTGATTGGATTTAGAACCACATAAAGTCACTGGAAATGCCCTGGTGGCCACTGTCACTGGACAAAAGGCAAGACGTTTGAGTTGTAGCTTGGTAAGAAATAAAAGGGAAATTTTCCCATTGGAACACTTATTCCAGTAATATTTGAAACTAGATTTAGGTGGGATTTTCCTTACTTTGAAGATGTCTCCACTTGCTTTCTGTTGTGTTTCCAGACATGCAAAGGAAAATTTCTACAATGGGACACAATCCCATGTCAGGGATTTTAACTTTTCCTTATACCACTGGCCTCCAAACTGTAGCTTGGGGGTCGGATGTGGCCCTTTGCTTGCCTTTATCTGGCTCTTGGGGCACTATTCCACCAACTGACATCATCAATGGGGCACTATTCCACCAATTGACACCATCAATGGGGCACTATTCCACCAATTGACACCATCAATGGGGCACTATTCCAGCAATTGACACCATCAATGGGGTACTATTCCACCAATTGACACCATCAATGGGGCACTATTCCACCAATTGACACAATCAATGGGGCACTATTCCACCAACTGACACCATCAATGGGGCACTATTCCACCAATTGACACAATCAATGGGGCACTATTCTTCCCATTGATACCAACAATAGGGTACTATTACTCGCATTAAAACCAATGATGGGGCATTTTCTACACCCACTGTCCACAATCTGGCCTCCTTGAAGCCCTGAAGGACAGTAAACTGGCCCTGTGCTTAGAAAGTTTTGAGATCCCTGCCTTATACTAATCAAAATCTAAAAGAAATTGACTTTAGATATACTTTAATGCGCAGGCATGGTCCACCTTTAGGAAACATATCCTGAAAGTGCCATGCAGCCATCACTGGAGAGGGTGCATGCAGAAAATTGACCACAAAGAGACTGCAAGAGATCAGCAGCACTGAAGTGGAGGAGCACTGCTATTTTTTGTAGGAATTGCAGACAAAAGGTAAATATTTCAGAGTTCTACTTAGGGACGATTAACATTTTTAGATGTTCCCTATAACATATCAAATCTTCACTTTTTGAGTTCACTTTTCACTTTAAAGCGGAGCTCCATCCAAAAGGGGAAATTTTGCTTTAAGGACTGCTCCCCATTAAGGATTGGCACCTTTGGGGGGCGGGGGGGAGCGGGTACCCAAATTTGACAGGTACCCACTCCCACTTCTGGTTCAATCGCCTAGGCAGTCGGAAGTGGAAGGTGTCCTCCCTCCCTTCCTGTAGTCTTGAGGGACACGTGACAGGTCCCAGAAGATTACAGGACCATTCATGAAGTGCAGTGCTACTCGCGCATGCACAGTGGGTACCCGGCTGAGAAGCCGCAAGCTGTCACAGCCGGGTGCCCACACTGAAGATGCCAACCTCCTGGAATACAGGACGGCCGGTGAAATGGGCTGCGGGGGACACACCACGGGACCGAGGGACAGGTAAGTGGCTGTTTTTTAAAAGTCAGCAGCTACAGTTTTTGTAGCTGCTGACTTTTATGTTTTGACAGCGTGAGCGGAACTCCGCTTTAAGTTGATTGTGAATTTGTAGCCTGGAATGTCAGCAATGCAGTAAGCAGCTAACAGATATATAAGCAGATAGCTCTAGGCTTTACAATAGTAAGCAACCCCCCTGTGTCCTACAACAATGATCATTATCATGCTACAATGTGCAGCAACATCAACAAGGACAGAGGTGCAAACCTAATAAACTCATTTCTAGGACACATTGTCCACTGACATGGTATACCTAAGCTGAACCTGTAAAGTATTGTCTTGAACTATGATAGATCTATAGATAAATGTGACATTTTAATAAGCTTGAAATACAAACATTTGTTTTGCATTTTCATTTCAATGCTTCACTGCTTAGATTTCCAATCCAAACCCTGCACTGACACTGACCTGTCACCTGACTGGTACATTCATTAACATCTCAATGGCTACACTTTAAAGAGCCATACTCAAAGAAGACAGCTAAATACACAGTTGAAGCACATACTGTATATGTGGCAGGGGCAGACTGACCATTTGGAAACTCGGGCACTGCACGAGGGCCCAGGGTCAGTAGGGGGCCCCATGAGATGCCCCTGGTACCTTTTTCATAGGCTTTTTTGAGTTTGGGCAAGGACACAGGGGCCCCATGATCCCCTATTGCCCAAGGGCCCCATGAGTTGTCAGTCCGCCCCTGCTCAGAGGGGACATCTACACTGATCATCAGGGCACTGATGATCAGTGTGCCCTGATGATCAGTGTAGCCCCATCAGTGCCACCTGTCAGTGTACATCAATGCCACCTGCCAGTGCCCATCAGTGCTACATCAATGCCACATATCAGTGCCCATCTGAGCTGCCTTTCAGTGCCAGCTATCAATGCCAGTCAGTGCCACCTATCAGTGCCATATATGAGTGCTGCCTGTCAATGCCCATCAGTGCCACCTACCAGTGCCTCCTCATCAGTGCCCATCAGTGCAGCATATCAGTGCCTATCACTGCAACCTCATTAGCGCACATCAGTGAAGGAGAAAAATCACTTATTTACAAGATTTTATAACAGAAACTAAAACCTTTTTTTTTCTAAGTTTTTAGTTGTTTTTGGTTTGTTTAGCGAAAAAAGAAAAACCCAGAGGTGATTAAATACCACCAAAAGAAAGCTCTATCTGTCTCATAAAAATGATAAAAATGTCATATGGGTACAGTGTTGCATGACCGTGCAATTGTCATTAAAAGTGCGACAGCACTGAAAGCTGAAAATTGGCCTGGGCAGCAAGGGGATATAAGTGCCCTGTAGGCAAGGGGTTAAAACAAATGTACATTCACGATAAAATCTTCAGGGTATCCATAAAGGTATGTCAGTGGAAACAGATAATCAACAACAGATTTAATATCAGTAAAAGTGAACACAACATTTGCCACGTCATATCATAATGAAATTATTGTGAAACAACCTTGTGTAAGCACTCAGTATTAACCCAAATCAAAATTGTCTTTCCTATCAACCAAATGGTGAAGCTGACACATTGTAAATAGTAAGTTCTGTTTAACCCCTCGCCTACAGGGCACTTATACCCCCTTCCTGCCCAGGCCAATTTCCAGCTTTCAGCGCTGTCGCACTTTGAATGACAATTGCGTGGTCATGCAACATTGTACCCATATGAAATTTTTATCATTTTTTTGTGACAGATAGAGCTTTATTTTGGTGGTATTTAATCACCTCTGGGATTTTTATTTTTTCTTAAACAAACCAAAAACCACTGAAAATTTTGAAAAAAAAAAGTTTTTTCTTAGTTTTTGTTATACAATTTTGTAAATAAGTGATTTTTCTCCTTCACTGATATGCGCTAATGAGGCTGCAGTGATGGGCACTGATAGGCTGCACTGATGGACACTGATAGGTGGCACTGATGAGGAGGCACTGGTAGGTGGCACTGATGGGCATTGACAGGCATCACTGATGGGCATTGAAAGGCAGCACTGATACATGGCACTGATATATGGCACTGATAGGCAGCACTGATAGGCGGCACTGACTGGCACTGATAGGCGGCACTGACTGGCACTGTTAGGTGGCACTGACTGGCACTGTTAGGCAGCACTGACAGGCACTGATAGGTGGCACTGATGCGCACTGATAGGCAGCACTGACTGGCACTGATAGGTGGCACTGACTGGCACTGATAGGTGGCACTGATTGGCATTGATAGGTGGCACTGATTGGCACTGATGGGTGACACTGAAAGGCAGCTCAGATGGGCACTGATAAGTGGCATTGATGTGGCACAGATGGGCACTGGCACAAGGCACTGATGGACACTGACATGTGGCACTGCTGGGGCTACACTGATCATCAGGGCACACTGATCATCAGTGCCCTGATGATCAATGTATATGTCCCCTCCGCCGAAAGCCAATTACCGGCTCTCCTCTCCTGTTTACTGGCATTTACCGGTATTTCCCTGTTTACATGTGATCAGCTGTGATTGGACACAGCTGATCACATGACCGAGCCGACATCTTCCGCTCTTTCCATGATCGGTGATCCGCTGTGTTCGAGGGACACAGCGCACCACCGATCACCGTGCTGCGCGCTCCCTGAGCCGCTCATGCTCGGTGAGAATGGGAGGACGTCATATGACGTCCTCCCAGAACGAGAGAACCACCTTGCGTCCATCATATTACTATATGGCGGGCGGGAGGTGATTAACCACTTGCCCTCCTGGGGATTTACCCCCCTTACTGACCAGACCATTTTTTGCGTTACGGTGCTGCGGTACTTTGACTGACAGTTGCGCGGTCTCGCAACATGGCACCCAAATTAAATTTACGTCCTGTTTTCCCACGAATAGAGCTTTCTGTCAGTGATATTTGATCGCCTGTGCTTTTTTATTTGTTGCGCTATAAAAAGAAAAGACCGACAATTTTGAGTTAAAAAACTATATTTTTGAATTTTTGCTTTTAAACATGTCTAGTACAAAAATTTTAAAAATCAAATATCAACATAACTTTAAGCCAAAATGTATTCTGCTACATGTCTTTGGTAAAAAAAAATCCCAATACGTGTAAATTAATTGGTTTACGTGAAAGTTATAGTATTTACAAATGATGGAATATATAGTGGGCTTTTTTTAAAAAATATTTTTACTAGTAATGGTGGCAATCAGCGACTTATAGCGGGACTGCGTAAGATATAAAAATGGGAATGTCCTCCTGCGCTTAACTGTGTGAACACCTAATATATATAAGCAAGCTGCTGTCACCTGTTCCCTATACCCCAGGATAGGCAAACATAAAACCATTTTGAGCACGTGTCACTTTACGTTTTTCATAGGTTGGAGTCTCACATATATTGATTCATTATATTTATGATTTTAGTTTTATTTATTTTTGTTTATTTACACAGATTTATTGGTTTATCGCATTCGCTTAGCACTTCACCATTTTTTGGTTTTATATAGCAGGACTGCGGCCGGCATTCTGACACTGGGGGGAACTGACTTGGTGTCACTGACATCCCCGATAACACCAATACAGTGATCAGTGCTAAAAAAAACATTGACACTCTACTAATGGCACTGGGCAGGAAGGGGTTAACAGGAGGGGCGATCAAAGGATTAACTGCGTGCTGTTTCACTATCTCCTGTGTCTGTGTGCTTCACTGTAATCACACTTCTTTGCATGGCTGTGCTCTGTACAGCCATCCAAAGCAGTGTTCACGAGCCAACATGGAGGAGAACTGTTTTGTTTACAAACAGTTCTCCTCCTCATCGGAGATCCTCGGCAATCACCAGTCGCTGGTGAGTAATCACCGGCCGCCGGTGATTGAAAGCCAAGGCCGCGAATGGCAGCGCGGGTAGGACGTGCGCCCCCTACCCGCAGATGCTAAATCACGTACATATACGTGATTTTGCGCACCCCCCCCCATGACACCCTGTACCAGTATTTCTGCTATAGGGTGGTCAGGAAGTAGATAACTTATGTTTGCTATATGTAAGTAAGAGAACAACATTATAGAAACTAAAAGGCAACATATTAGTCTAAAATGTACAAGATGAAGGTAGAAAATGAAAAAGGAGAAGAGATAGGAAAAAGTGAGTTCCAAGAGCAGCCAAGGTGATGCCTCCCAAGCCTCACTAGATCCTTTGTTGCTTTAGATCTTCAGTCTGTTTGCAGAAAAAAATTAAAAGTCAGCAGCTACAAATAGCTATTGCCTTTTAATATTTGGACACTTACCTGTCCAGGGATCCAGTGCTGTCCTCATCTCGGCTGGTTCTTCACTGGTCTCCAGGTCCCTGGCACTGGCATGTTTACTATGGGAAGCCGGCTGTGTCTCCTTGTTGTTCCACAGCTGGTTTTCTGCTGTGCTTTGTGAATGGTCCCGCAGCCCCATGTCCCAAGAGGTTGTGTGGCAAAGTAGGAAAGGGGAGAGAACTTCTGGACGAATTGTCTAGGTGATAGAAGTGGACGCAGGAGTGGGTACATGCCACAACTAGGGTGAGTATGTGGTGCTGCAGAGAAGAAGACCAAAACAGATCTGTTGTTTAATAGCCGTGTAATTGTTGTATATCAGTTTAATTTAACAAGCAGGAGTAACACTTGTTGTCAGAAAAACCCCAGTAGAAAAAACTTGACTTGGAGAAAAAACTTGTCAAATCGGAGACATGGGACAATGTGTCATACATAACACAACATTACAAGCAGTTGTCAGGGATAGAACTTGTCCTGGAGGAGAAAAGGACCTACCCAATCAAATCTAAAAGCCTTCTCCATCTACCTTCCTGTAAAGAAATGTGTTCGTAAATCAATTCTCCTGGAGAAGATCAAACCATGCCATGATCTGTTTGTTTGTAGCCAAGGGCGGACTGACAACTCATGGGGCCCCCCGGGCAATAGGGGATCATGGGGCCCCTGTGTCCTTGCCCAAACTAAAAAAAAACCTATGAAAAAGGTACCAGGGGCATCTCATGGGGCCCCCTACTGACCCTGGGCCCTCGGGCAGTGCCCGAGTTTCCAAATGGTCAGTCCGCTCCTGTTTGTAGTCTACAAACTTATGGGTGAAGCAAGCATAGCTCAAGTATATGAACAGTAGAATTCTATACTATCAGCTGAACTTTCTTCAATAGGTGAACGGTACAGATGAGAATAAAAAAGCCATTGAAGACCCTGGATCTTTCCTGCTCTATAAAAAATTAATTTGGTCTATGCCTCCTAGGTGAGACTTGCTTAAATTTTATTTGTGGTCTCGGGGCAGAAAATAAGGGGGGGCTATTCCCAATGTGGACAGGATATAAGGATGACTCTTCCCAATGTGGACAAAAAACTAGCCAAACTAGTTTCCTTTTACAGAATAAATCTGAAACAGGTACTTTAAGGTACTTAGCAATCTTTGTGCCGGTTCTTGTCTCTGCCACATTGCTGCAGCCATCACCAAACCACCCAAGAGGACCTCACTCCTCTATTAAGTGAAAATGAAGTGATGAAAGGAGAATCAGCCTTGAAATAGAGAATCTTCTGTAATAATTGCAGCTTGTGGACAGGGGGCGGACTGACCATTTGGAAACTAGGGCACTGCCCGAGGGCCCGGGGTCAGTAGGGGGCCCCATGAGATGCCCCTGGTACCTTTTTCATAGGCTTTTTTGAGTTTGGGCAAGGACACAGGGGCCCCATGATCCCCTATTGCCCGGGGGCCCCATGGTCAGTCTGCCCCTGCTTGTAGGTGAAGCTTGAAACCCAAATACAGGTATTCTGTAGCATTTTCTAAGGTTAGTGAATAATTGAATTTGTCTCAATCTATTTAGAAATAGGTAGATGTAGCTGAGAAGCCAGGTACGGAAATAACGAAGTTGGAGTTCCTGGGCTATAATACATAGATGGATAATTCAGTCTGCTTGCATCCACCCAAAACTGAAATAGGCAAAGTGTACTTGATCAAATCATTTTTCCAGCTAATGCCATACCTGAGCACTCCTGTATTAACCTTCACCTTTTTTTATCAAAGGGAACTGGGTACAGTAAAGTAACAAATTTACAAGCCCATAGCACACTCAGTCGCAACACCATAGTCATTCATTGATGAATAGAGATTAACGCTCTCTGCCATACTTTGCTAGGAAGAGAATGTAAAAAGTCCTTACCTTCTTTCCATGAGCCGCTCCCATGCTACGAGGGGCAGGAAACCTAACTTCCCCCCTCGATTACCGATGCAAAGCTTCACAATTAGATCCTTGACTTTCTGAGGGCTGGCACTTTGTACAGTGCGTATTGTCCACCCCGACTCCAGAAAGGCACAAGCTGCATAAAGCGCATACAGGCACTGGCACACTGACAGGTCCAGTGTATTATACCCAGCTGGAGGGAGAAATCAGCGGCATCTTAAAGGAGATGAGCTGGGAATTTTCACTTGTCTTTTGCCATAAGAGGAAGCAATCTCTCTCTTAGTGGAGTGTTCTTGCCATGCACAATAGTACCTTTCATGCAGGCTCGGCTGTTAAGCTGGGCTCCTGATTCAGAAAGGCTGTACTAGATTAAAGTAATTGCTCCTGACAGGGCGACATGTCACTGAATGCCAAGTTTTCTAAGAGATTCAGAAAGCATTTGTAGGAGAGGCTGGGCTCGGAAGGAATTTACCTGGATTCAAAGATATTGTTTTGAAACAACCTGGATACGGACCAAGCTAAACTCCTCTACAAAAAAATGAACTGGGGCCCTCAATAAAGGGAGCCTTTCCTTTTCCTTCTCTTTACCCTTCCTTTCCTTCCCTTTAGAATTTTTGTTCCTTTTAACTTTTTTTCCCTGTTCCTTTCTTTTTTTTTTTTTCCCCACTCTTTTCCTTTTCCTTATTTTTTCTTTTCTTCCCATTTTAATTTTCTGTCCTTCATTTCCTTTCCGAGGACCTTTTTTTTTCTTTCCTTTTCTTTTATCTTTCCTTTTCCTTTTCTTTTCCTGTTCCTTATTATTCTGTTCCTTTTCTTTTTTCTTTACTTTCCATGTTTCTTATTTTTTCTTTTCCTTTCCTTCCCATGTTCTCTTCGTTTTTCCTTTCCTTTTCCTGTTCCATTCTTTTTTCCTTTGTTTCCCTTTTCTTTGTCTGTTCCTTTCCTTTTTACATTCCCCGTTCTTTTTTTTTTTCCTTTCCTTTCCCTGTTCTTTTTCTGTTTCCTTTCCTCGCCCCAATCTTTTCCTTTTCTTTTTTCCTTACATTTCATTTCCCTTTTTCCTTTCCCTTTCCTTTTTCATTACCTTGTTTTACCTTTCCTTCCCTCTTTTTTTCCCGTCCTTTTGTTTTCCTTTGTTTTCAGTGCAAAATGACAGAAATTGAAACAAGTGCATTTAACAAGCAAATATCACCGGCCC